AACAGTTTCCTAGTACCTCTAATCAAATTATGTTCTGTAATATATTGTAAATTTCTATAAAGGTGCTGCGCTGAGTTTGATATTGGAATTGTCAAATTAATTGCAATTAATTGATTCAAACAAGTCGTTAACGCGTCAGACTAGTAATCTTAGGATTGCTGACCGCATGGGTACAAACCCTGTGAGGGACAAGCTGTTGTTTCCTTGAGCAAGGAACTTTACATTCATTCTTGCTTTAAAGTACTGGTTGGTTCCAGGAACAGATTCAAGAGTGTTTCAATAAGCTTATAGCTTCCAACACAATCGAACTGAAATAAATTTGTATAAACTAAACATCAATTTACTAAAATTTAGTTGCCATATAAGTAAATTTTATCTCCTCAGACTGCATGGATCTGCAGACCATACCTGACTCTAGGCCAAATACTCATAAAGTTACAAGTAGATCATTACCGTACATTATATCAGAAATTAACAATGTCAGAGATACTCAAGTATGTGCTTGGTTCCTCTAATCTAATTCTCAGGACAATATAATTATTCTCAGTTAAAGGGAAGACTCAATTGTAACAACAATAATTGTCCTCGGTCAAGAGGAAACACAACCTCAAAACAATAACTATTCTTAGTCAAAGGCAGAAACATCCAAAACAGCAATTATTATCCACAGTCAAGAAAAAGAAGGATCATCCTCTATCAATGATGTAAACAGTCGCACTGTACATGTTAATCCTCCAGTCTAGGGCAGAAACAATCAAAGGACAGAATTAAACAATTAAATATAACTATTATCCTAAGTCAAGGATAGAAACAATTATTGAATAAAAAACGATTATTATCCTCAGTCAAGGGCAGAAATAGTTCAAAATAATTATTATCCTCAGTCAAAGGCAGAAATAGTTCAAAATAATAATTATCCACAGTCAAAGGCAGAAATAGTTCAAAATAATAATTATCCACAGTCAAAGGCAGAAATAGTTCAAAATAATAATTATCCACAGTCAAGGGCAGAAATAGTTCAAAATAATTATTATCCTCAGTCAAAGGCAGCAACACATCTACACAGTTATTATCCTCAGTCACACAGAGAACAATTATATCTAATAATGCAGTTAGGGCATGAACTTTACAACATTTGATACTGACTGCTCAGTAGACCTCTCTCTTCATCAGATATAATATCTTACAGATTCCCACATCATTGCTGATCTGCTGATTGCTGCCAAATGAATCCTTCAAGACAAATATCATATTGTACATGTACAATAGTGTGATCATTTACCAACTTGTGTTTCTATGTTACCTTTGGGTTACAATAATGTAGAATGGTGATTTATGCTCTCAAGGAGAAACTGCATGACTCAGCATTATTAATTTTTTTTTTAAATCATATCCTTTATAGTTCACAATTAAAATTGGGCATAGAAATTGTACATTTATATTCTTCTAAGAACATACAATTTTTTTCTTTTAAACTTAACATATTCTTCACATTTTGTTTTTCAGAGAAAACTCAATTTATATTTATAAAGAAAAGGATAAAAGATGAGACAGGATATATTAGGATGTTTAAACAACAAATCTCCAATTTAACGCAGTACAGATGTTACATTAAAGTGCTTGAAGAATAATTTACGTTAGATTTGCAATGACATGTCAAAATTGTCCTAGGCTTGTTTCATTAAACTTACAAAAGTAACGCCCTGTATATTACTGTCATCAGTATTTATAACACACTCTCACACTACCTGCAATATGTGACATTAACTATACACACATTATAACTTTAATCCTGTGCTTAATTCTCCTTCATATAATGAATGTACCATCAACTTTTGTCGATTTGGAACCTTTTCATATATGAATACAAACAAACTGGAGTATAAAAAAATTCAAAATGTTAATATTTATCAGAGTATGCAACAGGTGAACGAACATCTGTGTTTAATCAGATTGCATGGATGCACAGGATGGCCGTGGCAAATACAAGATCACTCCAAATAATCTTTCATACATATCATAATCATAACTTTTAATTTTAAAGTTATCTAAAATGGTTTATATATAAAGATCTTATTACATTAGGAACTCCATAAAAATCTATAATAATTCTAAATGTTATAAATAACTATTATATGAACAGTAAGATGATTTTAAAGAACTGATATATTTTCATAAATATTGGTTTCTGCTTGAAAGACCATAAAGAAGTGGAACAAACACATTCAACCTGCTATACTGCTCTGAGGATCCCCCCAACGCTGATATAATGTTGCCAGTCCTTTTGTATACTGTGTAAATGAAGTATATATAAATATGCAAATGAATATTATTAAACTTTATTAAACTAAGCTTGATTATTGACGGTTTCATTTCATTTCAGGCAAAATGCCTAAATGTTTTAAAGGGGTATATTACGTATAGAATTAAAATTAATACTTTCTGCCAAGTCTTATTACCACTGTATTTGTAATGTAGTATATGGACATATGAAAAAAAAGTACAAATTAAATATAATAATTATGAACTTTGGAAAAATCAATGGTGAATAGCACATTAAATATGAATTTTCAATTTTAAGTGACATTATGCTCAGCCTCATATTTTCATTCTCTAGATGAGCTTAATTGACAATATACTTCAAAAGATTGACTGTTATAATGATGATTGATTAATTAACAGTTGATATTGGAAAATGATTAGGATAAAATATAAATCTTCATAAAATATAAAAAGACTGTCTGCACTTCTTTTCATTAATTGAATGCTACAGGTATATTCAGACTGATATTTACAGAAATTACCTAACATGCCAGATAAGTTATTGATCATTCATGCGAAGTACTGTAGATTATATAAATTAAAGGAATTATGGCAAAATATAAACTTTTAACTTCCACCTGCAATATCTGACTCTACACAACTCTTGGATGGGCATAATGTCACTTTAATTATAAATATATATATATATAAAAATCTTTTGTCATATTCTTTTGTTTTATGTGTGACAGTGCCCTGGTTGATCTAAGTAAGAATTTTAAATTAAAATATTTTGTCTTTTGACTTTTGGATCACAGTGGAACTCCTTGAAGAATAGAAAGCAGAGAATGTACACAATGTAAGCTGATTTCCCTGTAAGTTGAAAGAATCACCTGGTATTAACTTTCTTATTTGAGCACTAATCAATATCAGTTTTCAGTATTACTCTAGTAAGTCTGTAACAAAGCAATTGTATTGGAAATCAATTACAAACTTAAAATGTTACCTGAATATTGATTCCGTATTTTTTACATATATGTGTCAATATTACCACAATATTAATTATGACAACAGACTAAATAAATATCGAGACAGACTGATGTCTCTGACTCATTAATAATATATCATAACTATTTCCATAGAAATCTTTCAATTATCACACCATGAACTACATAAACACGCAACAGAAATAATGTACATTTACTTTATCTTTTTATTATGATATTCGATCACTAACTAGCAAATAGCAGTTAGAGCATTTCTGTATCACAACCAATAAAAAGTGAGACAGAAATCAAAATCAGTTAAAAGTGAGATAGAGATAGCATAGCTAGTTCCTCAACCTCAAATTTACAACTTTTTCAGTCTGATACCACACCTGTATTGTATATGTAACAGATATGAAAAAAGAAATTTATAAAACGCCACAGTCTAATAAATGTTATACCAAGCTGGACATTGGTCAACTGCTAGAAACTTTGTAACTGAATTCATTCAAGGTGTGAGTCATGTCATGAAATTATGACTGATGATGCCTGTTATAAGTTTTGATGTTAATTAACAACACTTCCATTTACTATTTTAATTTCACTTTACTACATTTTACCACCTTATGAACAAAAATAGGACCTTATCAATTCATGATAATTTTAAGATTGGTCTTACCTTTTCAAGATATAAGGCTAAACATAATATTAATTAAACAAATCATATGGATGAAACTTTATTTACTCCTGGAAGAGTTAGACCTTGTCAAACTACAATTTTTATTTGAAGCTAAACTGCAGGAAAATGTTAAGGCTTTCAGCATACAAACAAAAATAAACACATTATATAAAAATCCTGATTGTTCAGTAACTGCTTAATGTAATTACAAGTAGATCTATATAATTTTATTATATCATAACTAATTTCAAAAATTAAACTTTCAAGGCATAAATTTTACTATGTATAACTTTTATATACTAGATAAATAAGTTATATTCAAAGTAGACAAATTATGTTTTATTTTGCCATTTTATATAAAAAGTAGCACATACAACAAACATGTAAAAAGTAGCACATACAACCACTGATTATATGTCAATTAAAGTCTGTGATACAACATACATAATTTTGACATATTCTTTCAAAATCAGGATATCAAAATAATCTAAATGTAAAGGAGCCTGAATATCTTAAGTCTTTACACAACCTGAGATAGAATATGTTTATAACTGAATTAGTTTATTTTAAAATGTGAGGAAAGATGAATGAAAATTAATAAAAAAATACTTTCTGAAAAGGATTAAATAAGAACAATATTGAACTTGCTGTACAAAATTTTATGACGGATTCTGTAATAAAGCCGCTTATTTTAATGAACTTAATAACAGAAATAATATATTGCTTTAGACATGTTAAAACATTTTTTTCCATTTTCATTAATCTGTTAATTACACACAAACTTTACAAAATGTGACCACATTAATTAATTCATTCTTGGTGAGAGTAAAATATTCAAGAAATAATAACAGTTTTAAAGAAGTCTAACTATGCGCTTATGAAACAAGCATAATAAATATAGGACATGTACTGTTAAAGTGTTTCATAAGATGTTTACAAACACTGACACCATACTGACTCATAAACTTGTAAAATCCAATTTCACAGGTGTGTAATTGAATAATTTAAATTCCGCATTTTTGTGAATAATATTAACATAGAATGCTGCTACTATCCAGAAAACACAAGACAAATACCTTTTGAAGCGAATATATGAGTCTCTGTACATAAAATAATTAAAATTAAGGCTGTAATTTTAGCACTGTAAACCGTACTGATCGCCATATTTGTTGAGATTTGATACTAAGGAAGTAAACGGAAAAAACCGAGGATCACCGAAAAAGTACCTGTCAAATTAAGCTGGTTCCCTTATTTTAAGAGCTATAAAATACTTACAGTTCGCACCGCAGGACCAATTATTGGTAAGCTTCATCAAAGAAAATGATTGGTTAATGTTATCGCGTACGTCAAGAAGTGGAAAGATTCAACGATGTTTTAAAACAAAAACAGAAGATAATATATTTACATACTTGTTTAGGTATATTTTTTTCTGAGAATACAAGATTTATTCTACGATTTTTGCAGAGCCCTATTTTATGTTTATTTAATTACAATCGATCCTCGACAATCTCCACCAAATCGATTTGTTTTTAAAGATTCGTACCCAAATATTTTCATGACAAAAGTTAGCTCATGAAACATGTTTTATTTTTCATTATGGTTTAAACATTCTTAAACATTTGAATATTAAAAAATAAAGAAAAAAGAATTTGAGAGGAAGAAATATTCTAAATACAGTGTAAAAAACATAAATTTTGTCGTGTTTCCTGACCTAAATTTAATATGGCATTTTATAACGTTGGAAATTTGCTCACTTTTTCAAATGGAATCAAACTTGCACTGAAAAAAGCTTATGAACAAATTGTGGGCTTTTCACCCATGGACACATGAGGGGCAAGGGGATACCTACTGATTTCATCAGATAGTTATGGCTTATTTTATAGCCGATATTCCGTTACATTCCAATTGAAAATAGTATATTATTTTCCCAATCCATAGGAAAAAAATCCCAGTTTAAAGTCACAAAATAAAAATATTGAATATAAAACTCTAAAATCTTTGAAAATAATGGCTCCTTCACTTTTATAGTGCTTAAATGTATGAAGATGCCATCCTATGATCCTAGACAGTGATTGTTTGTATTCATTTAATAATTTATGCAAATTCTCAGTCATGCATTTTTCCCAATTTTTAACATAATATCGCTGAAATTCCCAATTCCTTGGTTATGGGTCATGTTCCCAAAATACTGGGAAAAAACCCTGAAATATTATGACTATAACATCTTGGTCAATGTGCCATGTGTTTGGGTGTGTTTACCCCTTCCATGTCGGTAAGTGGTACTCACCAGGCAGGGCCTTTTCACTAGCTTTGGGGAAGGCGCTTTAGCCCTTTTTGTGGGGAAAAAATGCGCGATTTCCACACTTTTGGGGAAAATATCATATTTTCACACATTTCGGGGGGAATATCATAATTTATTTGCATATCTTCCTCCAATCACATTTAAGGTTTACTATAGTACTAAGCTTTCTGTCCAACAGGAGTAAAAAACATTTTTTACAGATCAATTTATTGACCCTTTATATTAACTATTATTTCCTATTTATAGTATTTTATGTTGGTCATGTGAGGGTTCTTGGTTTGATTCAGAGGGTACATTATTACCAGTTTACACTGTATTACTGGCACTGATGTGCTAGGCTCGCTATTTCCGACAGTTGGGCATGTTGTGCTACTCGGACACAAGGTCATCAATTCATCCAATTTTTGATAAACAATTACAAACGTCACTCAATCGTATTTTCTTCTTGTTCTGTGACATTGTTTACATTAGTGACATCGTATCGGTCGCCATATTGTCGTAACAAATCACATGTGCACTAAAAAATAAGGCAGCAGGGATTTCCCATGCTGTTTTTAGAAAGTTGCAAACTCAGACTGAGGCTCTGAGTTAACATCAATTGTATTAAATCAAGGTATCCCTCTATTGGGTTATTGAATTATTAGCTTTCATTGGACAAAACAATTATCTATTTTAAAACAAGAAAGTTTCTTTACAAGTTTTATTCTTCAGTTAAAGGGGAAATATTTGCCAGAAGGGGAAATTTAGACTGTTTTTTGGGGAAAAAAGGTAGTAATTTGGCTTGGGGAAGTAGCCTGATACAGGCTACAGCAAAGAAGGGGAAAAAGGCCCTGCCAGGGCTGGCAAAATCTGATTTTGACTTTAAAATACTTGTCTGTTTTTATGTGAAGCATTTTTTAACTTGTCCGTATGATATTAATTCTTGAAAATCTTTACTTGGTGTACAGGCTGTGGGACAACCTGGGCAATATGGACAATTGATTTTGCCGGCCCTGCTCACTATATGCAAATTACACATTTTCAGATCATCATGACTGTATTATACATCTGTGGACCATATAATCTGATTAATCATTTAAATGCAATTTTACTTTAAGGTCATCATCTATGGAATTTATAATTAATTTTGGACCAATAAAGTTAAAACGCTTTAACTATAGTAGGCTATTTGATACAGATATTAGTTATTTACTTTAAACGTTAATTCAAGTGATAATGGAATAGCATTTCATTAATGAGATGCCAAGCATATCTGGGGCATGATAGGCCTTTTAAATAAAATGAAATGTTCTGATTATAAATTGTTAAGAAAGGAATTTTTATTGCACTGTATGGCAAGTGTCAAATTATTTGATGAAATTTCAACAGCATTTGGTCCTGAAAATTTTATGTTTTTAATTTTTCAGACCAGTGAAGACAGTGTTCTGTACTTAAAGATGTCTAGTAAAGAGAATATGCCCCCTGTCAAAGACAGGAAGAGGTAGGTTCAATATTTTTGACACCATTTGTATACATACAGATACATTTCTGTTTAGACTATGTTGTCGTTATTTAGTTTTGTAAGATGGAATTTTCAATTCTTCCTTCGCAACTTAGAAAAATAAATGCTGACTAGAAAAAAGTTGATAAACAAGATTGTAATCATTTTGTTCCTAAAACTGTTTGTATGTATCACAAATTCTAAAATGGACGAAACCTTTAAGCTAGCTTACAGATGATCAGTGGTTCTCAAAGCCTTTAACTCTTTAACTGCCTCCTTAGTGATTAGCCTTTTCCACCAGTATATGACAAGGCATGTTCCAGCATCCGACTTCTTGTCCTGATCAGTTGCCCACCATCCATGGTCTGAACAGCTCTTACTGACAAACTTTAAATTTCCATTTTAAAGTTGATAATGGACAATTAAAAGAAAGTTGGACAAGGCCATATATCAGCAGGATATGGCACAGACAACTATATGTGTGCAACAGTAAACCCTATTGAAAAGAAAATTTGGAAATAAAAAAACTAGTAATTGTGCAAACTATGTGAAATTGAGTACAGATAATGATATTTGTAGCATTGTTTTATTAACTTGATGGAACTAGGTTTGTTGAAATAATTTTATTTGTGAAATGATCATGAAACTGTGGGAACAGATTAATTCCAATTAATTCAAAAACATTTTGGGTTAAGACCAAATTGTTTTATGTAATGATAATATTTGTTTGCAAAATAGTTTCCTGGTAAAAAAATCTTTTGTCTTACTGTCTAACACCATAGCTATTTAAAATCAATGAAAATTTAGTATTTTAGCACTACATATGTATCATTTTAATATTTAAGCACTATACATGTATATTGATATAATCTTTTGTATGGAAGGAAGTATAATTTAGCACCTTTTCCACTAAGCTAATTCAATAAATGCTAACAGGAGGCAGTGGTGTGAAGGTTTTTAATTGAAATATATTGGTTGCTGTATTATGTGATATGTATAAATATAATCCTAGGGAAATACCAATATTAACCAATCATCAGATTACTGTTATATACATGTATATATTACTTGTGAGATGTGGGGTTAGTCTTTATATAATATTTCTAGTATGGTTATTACATCACAAATTAGTAATCAGCTGCATCTCAGTGCATGAAAAAATTTGTTACTAAGGAAATTGAGCTAATATATGGTAAATATTTAGCCTACAATGACAGTGTACATTAGGTATCCAGTGAAATGGCAATTTTATTTAGTAAGTAGAATTTCATTTAGTTTCAAGCAATAACTTTTTCAAGTACATGTATGTATATACAATTTATGACAAATGTTGTTTAAGAACTAATAAGAATCTAAAAACTATGAATTTATATGAATAATTTGTAAACTTTATTTTTTAAAAAGTTTTATGCAGCTAATATATTTTATGCTTTGACACACTTTGTTTATATTTTTCAGTAAGATCCCAGTTCCAAGTATGCTACCAGTGAGGAAAGGAATTAAGCGAGCTGTCTCCCCAAATGCCTGCAAAAGTGATCCCAAAAGGTCCCCAAGCACCTCAAAGAGGTCATCAACAATGAATAAGGGAAGGCCAGAAACTAGACAGTTTGGAAATCAGCAGAGAAAAATTCTCGGGGAGCTGCCATGTGAACAACGAAAGATTGTAAAAGGTAAAATATACACAGTTTAAGTTTTTCTTTTATTTATTTTGACTCTCCAAAGAATATTCTTCCCGGCAGTTGTATTAGTGTAAACCATTTAAAAGTTTTGTGGAGAACATCACTTCTCAAAAATCCCCTAAAAGTGTGGATAGCTATATCTGCTGCCTACAGTTAACAAATTTTTTTTTTAATAAGAATAATTCCAAAATGCCTGTATGAAAGAAATATGTTGGTATATTTTCTTTTTGAGTGAATAGGGCATGCACAGAATTATTGCAAACAGTTAAAGACTTAATTAAATTTTAGCAGTGTAAAATTTTGTTCTGGAACATTTTATTGTTTTCATGTGTGTTAAATAAAAGAAACATTCTATGTTACCACTCTTTCAAGACTCTATCAACCATAGATTTTGGGAACAACATAATTTTATTTATAATTTTTTGATATTTTCATATATTTTTCTCTAGGTATTGTGAAAGACGCCTTTTAAAAGCTATTGGTGTCAAAATTAACCTGTTGTCTTTTACTTTATTATAAAAATGATTAGGATATAATTATATACATGTATGTCAGAATATCATAATTTAGATGTAAATGACATTACTGATATGTACAGGTTACTTTTAACTATGTACATGTATGTGTATATCCATGTATATATATGTGTGTGTTTTTGTCTGCAGTTCATAGAGCATTAAACAAGAGTCCATTAACTAAACAGAAAGCTGCAAAAAGACAACCTATGGTGAAACGTTCAACATTGAAAAAGGAAACTGGTGTATCAAGTTGTACAAGTGGTTTTGGAGTGGGAGACCTCAGCTTGTTACCCGATCAGTCAGGTTAGATTTTCTTCTTATTGAAGTATCTGTGAGTGACATTGTCAAAAATTTATTCTGACTTGCTTCACACTGTTTCTTAACCTTTAGCCTGCTTGGCAGTACCAGATGCTACCTGTGCAACCAGTGCAGATCATGTTACACATTGGTGTGTGCCTTCTGATCATGTTTCGCATTGTTTGTGTAAACTATTCATTCAATACTTTTTTTGAAATTTTACTTGTGAAGGAATAATGGTTTTGACCAGATAGAAGGATAAACATGTGTATTTAAAATACTTACCATGTTATGGGGTAATAAAACTGACTAACAAAATGATGTATTAAATAATGAGGTATGTTCAGTGAGACATTGACTAAATGCTGGACATGATTTATGAAACAAAACATAGATAAATAAAGTCTAATCTGACAAAAAAAATTACGGGGCGTCCGTGGCCAAGTGGTTAAGGTCGTTGACTTCAAACCACTTGCCCCTCACCGCTGTGGGTTCCAATCCCGAATAGGGACTTTGGATTCTTTCATGTGAGGAAGCTATCCAGCTAGCACCTGAGGTCTTCCTCCACCAGTAAAGCTGGAACGTCGCGATATGACCTATACTGTGTCGATGTGACGTAAAACCCAAAAACAAAACAAGACAAAAAAATTTCATTGGTCCTAGCAGTTGACTAATGCCTTCTAATCACGAATAATTAAATCATTGTATGAAGCAGTATTACAGTTATATGAAGACAAATTGGTCATTGGTGGAAAATGCAGAATAATTGGTGCATAAATTCCATTAAAAGATTAATTTATTTTGATGATAGTAAGATATATTATATGGGATATGTTGTAGGGATAGAGTTTGAGACAGATGATTCAGCTTTGCAGAGTATACTTGATGAGACCGGGATACAGTATGTTCAGCCTCAACATGGGAACCAGCCGCAGATGTCAAAATTCTCCAGACATACTTTAGCTGCTGTACCAAAGGTAAATCTTTTATCTAAATTTAAATCTCAGGGATGGGTTCAAAGCAATTGGTTTAAGTTGCAGAGTTTGATTGATTTAGCTGTTTCAATATTTGACCAAATTGACAAAGATCATCATCATCATCATAATCTCTGAATACCTTAAGATATAAATATGAAACAGTGATATACATATACATGTACTTTAATGGTTATCACTTCAAAGGCCTTACTTGTTTTACACGTAAGTATGATTGCTGTTTTTGTCCAGTATTTTGTTTAAAATGTTTAATTTAATGTACAAAGCTAATGGATTGGAATGTGTTGTTTTTAGATTTGAATTGATTTCAATTTTGTCATCATTCAGGTTGCACAGAAAGAGTCGATTGGACCATCCAGAATTAAAGTTGAAGATTTCCGTAAAGTATGTGATGACTTTATCAGTCGAACTACAAGCAAACAGCCCAATGCTAAACGTCATTGCAGGGAACCGGAATTCAAAAATGGTAAATAGAGTTTTTTTTTCACTGTTTTGAATTGGTATCTTTATTGAAGTGGTTATACCTTGGTCCTTGTTTTATACTATGATTATCAAGTAACCTGTTTTTATAAGGCATGAGATAAAAAGAAAATTTGTGTGCTTTCCCTGAGTAAGCCATCTATTTCCCATTGAAGTGAGAAAATGTTCACATTTTTACTTCTGCTACAGGGCCTTTTTACCTTCTATAACAGGGGCCGGTATAGGGCTGCTTCCCCAAACAAAATTTCTTTAAAATCATGCAGTTTTCCCCAAAAATTGAATTTACATAAAGTTTTTTCTTCCCCTTTTGCAAATATACTGTGTAATTTTTCCCCAAAATTAAGGGCTGGGCTGCTTCCCCAAACTGTGAAAAAAGGCCCTGTGCTATGCTCTATAAAATTTCACAACCTTATCACTTCTCCTTGAGATATCTATAATATAGCATATTCAAATTATAACAAAACGAACAAATATCCTCTATACATTTGCTAAACTCCAAGCCAGTCCAACTTTTGATTGAAATAAAGATGTCATACTTGTCAAGAGGTTTAATGATAATAAGTTTTATGGAATTATTAATTGTTTTTTTTTTTCATATTCCAGAAGATAATTTCAACTTAAAGTTGACCCCATCAAAGACAGATTTCTGTAAGAAGTTTGGTGTAGAAAAGAATATCACATTCAAAGGAGGTAAAAACTACATGATAGAAAAATAAATGAAAGACTTGATTTTTGTTATTAAGACATTTCTTTTTATAGCTTGACTTTCTAAAGCATAGTGCTGCTTCTCTACTCGTCCATTTGTTGGTGAGAGTGTAACTCTTAAAGTTTTGCATGTAATAATGTTTCATTTACCAATTAAGATATCCTCTTTGAACTTCACACATGTCTTAATTATCACTATTTTATGTAGCTTCACAAGAAATAACTTAAGCATGAATTTTAAATGACCTATACCGCTTGTGAAGTTCTTGGTTAAGGTTTTTGCATGTTAGATATTCTTTAAGTCTTTTTGAGTTGTCATAATTGTAGGTCACTTACCATACTTCACAATTCTAACATAGATTATGAATGAATTATACCCCTCTGTTAACTTTGAAAAATTCTAAAATCTTTGACAAATTGTTTGGAATATTTTTATGTTTTTTTTGGTTCATTTTGACTTTTTAAATACATGTCTCATTTAAATTTGAAAACATCGATGAATGTTAGCTTTAAAACATCTTTACACAAAGCTTATATGATATATTTATTGAGAATTTTTTTTTGACAGTGATTTCCTGTCATATATAGTTAACATATGTACTAGGAAAATTTCAGATTGAGCCTGTGTAACCCTGTATTACTGAATTAAACAGTAGTTATACTGGTTTAATGCAACCCCCCTGATTATTTTTGTTCTAGCAAAACATAGAAACAATGTCTTGATTGGTACTTGTGTTTCTCAACATTTGATAGGAAATGCTTCAATTACTTAACATTTATAAATAATCATTATTATAAAGACTTATGCCCCAGCTGTTGTGAATTTGATTTTAAAAGTATAATTATAGCACCAAAACTATATACATTAATGTAAGATTATTACAGAATTAACTTCTTAAAAAAGTTTTAAATACATGCTTCGATTTAAACAAAACAGTTACTTGTATATATATATTGTGTAATGTTTGTATTTCACAATTATAGTTACACCTGGATATGCGTCACGCCAGAGTTTACCAGGAAGGACAAAGGTTCGACAGCCTGATCCGTTCATTATTCCCGGGAGATGTAGCATGATAGGCCAGGCATCAAGAAGACTGGCAATGGTCGGGGAGGAGGAAATACTAAGTGTGACTCCTGGGCGTGCTAGCATAGCTCCACAAACACCTTTACGTGTCCCGAAGAAAATAAAGGTCAGTTTATAGAGGAATTCATTTATATCTATGCATGTAAATGCAATATACGATTCAGACAGTGAGATATTATCTATTATACAGTGACGTTAAAACATGTCTCAAGTTTTTACATTTGCATTACATAACAGAAAAGTCATCAACTTTAATCATCAGTTTAAATCTAAAATGTTGATATTTATAGTACACCTCCTAGAGTAACTGTAAAGTGCATAAAATAAAACAACAAGAATGCATAGCTAAAAATTGTCTTCTAAAAAATCATTTGAGCCGCGTCACAACAAAACCAACATAATGGGTTTGCGACCAGCATGAATCCGCGCAGTCTGATCAGGATCCATGCTGTTCGCTTACCAACTCTATTACAAGTAGGGAAACTGATAGCAAACAGCATTGATCCTGATCAGACTGCGCGGATTCCCAGGCTGGTCTGGATCTGTGCTGGTTGCAAACGCATTACATTGTTTTTGTCGTGACATGTCTTATTTGTTTACTGTTTCAGAATATGGAAGATGCTGCTCAGTTAGAGAATGAAGTTTTTTCAGGCAATGTCAACAGGCATCAAACACCAGGTAGAGTCAGTCTATCTTCACAGAAACCTGGTAGAGTTAGTCTATCTGCACAGAACCCAGGCAGACCCAGTCTATCATCACAAACCCCGGGAAGAGTAAGTTTGTCAGCACAAACACCAGGAAGAACCAGCCTAGCTCCGCAGACCCCTTCCAGAGCCAGCCTGTATGATAAAAGTTGTAATATACAAAGCGTAGGGAGACCAAGTCTTATCACACAGCCCCCTGGTCGAGTGAGTCTCTCTGCCCAACATCCACCTCAATATTGCCAGAACAAATATGACAATCTTTCCAGTGAAGGGAAGCCAACACAGACACCAGGGCGGGTCAGCTTGTCCTCTGTCCAAAACTCTCGTCAACACAGGGTCAGTATGATAGATCAAACCCCAGGTCGAGTGAAAATACAGGATCAAAGTAAGGACAAAGCTGATAATGATACCAAGAAGACTGACAGTATTTGTGAGAATTTGGCAAAGAGATTTCTAATGGATACTCCAGAAAAGGTTGATAATCCAGGTATGGTATACATCTATTCTGTTAATTAACTTTTACAGAGTTAGCAAAATTAATGTTCTCAAAAATTATTTGAAATGAATATATATAAGTTTGCATTCTTAGCACATCTGTTTGAAGAATAGAGAAAGTTATTGTACTCTCCCAGGCATTGATGTCACCATCACACTTAATTTTAATGTGTAATTTGATATTTTCAAAACTACTGAAGGGAATGGGTTGAAACTTCACATACTTATTTGAGTGCGTAATAGGAGGTCACTATCAAAGACCCATTACTGTAACATGAATTTTGACAGAATTATGGCCCTTTTTGAACTTTCTACATTATCCAGACTCTTGTAAACTATCAAGCACTGAGAATAGTCCAGCACACTGTCCTTCTGACACTACAACTTGAAAAATGTAAAATAGTTTTAGAACTTACTTAAAAAAAACCCAAAAAACAAAACAATGAAGAAAAAGTTAGTGAACATTTTCAGTAAAGAGTTCATCAATCATGTTATGTAAATTCAAGTACAATCAATACATTTATTGCTTTCTAGATACCATGTCTAAAGTCTCTAAAAATAAGACACCTGTGCGAGAAAAGGCTGCTGGTACGTGTGCAACTCCTCTAAGAGTTAAACTTCTTCAAACAGACCAGTCAACACCAAAGTCCACACCACAACGTGTTCTCAAACCTGCAAACACCTTGCAACATACTCCACAAAGAGTACAGGTCCAGGGTGTGACAAAATCCTCAAGTACACCCCAAGAACCTATGAGGGTAGCTAAAAAAGTTGGCACGCCCATAACTCCGATACGAGTTTCAGTCATGTCACCTGGTGTGTTACCAAGACAACCAGCAGATATCAAACAAGAAACCCCAAGTAGGAAAACTCCCAGCAAGAGTAAAATGTCTGATGGTGTCGACCTGAGAACAATTTGGAAAACAAAGAAAACTCCTTCTAAGTCACCAATAATGAAGGAAGTTCTTGTCAAAGAGGTTTGTTGATATAATTGATTTGTAAATCTGTTTTTCTAATAATTTGTTTATGATTTAAATGATCAAAAACATGATGTTATAATAAGGAGTTACAGCCTTAGTAATGAATTAAGTACTGAATACAAGAAATCTTCACGAGCTTCTGATTTTTGCTAAATAAATTAAGTTCATGATTAGCACAAATATTTCTACACCAATTTTTTTTTTCATTAATGGTCATATTTTGGTGGAAGTGTCAATTTTTTGATGATCATACAATTTTTCAGAGATTAAGTTTTAGGCATTGTAGTATAGGACTTAAATAAATACATATTCAAACTGTCAACAGATTGGACTGTCTGTTGATAACATTTTGTTAGATGCTGTCATTGACAGTGCCATTACAGCAAACAAATTATCATCATAACTTTGTCTCTCTTTGATTTACTGAAAAAAGCACTCATCATGACAGAATAAAGGTTTTTTGTTTTAGGTATGGTTTTGGAAAACCATCCCATACATACTGACACTAACATAAAATACTTTTGATATTTGAATTAAAGTAAAATAGATGAATTTTTTTTTTGAATTTAAAGCATTTGCAAATTTCCCTGTTAAAGATATACTATGCTCAAATTTGATATTAGAAAATACTGATAATTGCTAGACAGTCTTTTTGTAGATATAAAATAAACATGGTTTGACTTCACACATATAAGATATGTTATGTTTAGAATTCTACACATTATAGTTGGGCACAAAATGAAATTAAAATGTCATTAAAAAACTGGCAGATTTTTTTAAGAAAACACCATTTTTACTTGACCTGTAATAGGGAACACAGCTTCCCATACATAGTTTGTTCATTCTTTTATTCAAATTAGATATGTTCAGTAAGAATTTCATAGATTTCTATAAAGTTCTGTGATAAAAACATTTTACTTAATGATGAGCATAATAAATCTTTAATAAAATGTATGCTGATTATTATATTCAGGAGGAGGGCAGTAGCAGTGATGTGTCAACACCAAAGAATCACAAAGAAGGATTACCAGGGGCAGTTGCAATATCTATAAAGGTATAAAATTCCTACCATGTAAAGTAATGTCAGTTGATACTGTGTTTTCTCTAAAATGATAAACATTTTTGTCCAGAATGAAAAATTGACAATTCTGGGTAAAATTTTTAAGTGTGGTGGTAAGGGTTAAAATTACCTCTACCCATTAAGTTTTCAATAGTTTAATGATATCATGAAGATTTATATTGAATTTATATCATATAAAGAAATACGTAATGGTTATATCATACTATTAAAATATTGATGTAAATATATTGTTAGCGAAGACAATTGTTAGCTTATGTAACATATTTCTTGAGTCTGTTTCTTGAATTTGTCAGTGTCACAAGGTAAGATGTTGTCATGACCCTAGTATAGCTCAAACCCCCAGATTCTAAATGCAGAGTTGAAGGTAGACAAACACAAAAACAACCCAACAATTTTTGCTTAAAATGTTTCTGTTATCATTCTTACAACATGCCAAGCTTAAAGAAATTTTGTGAACAGTTTTAATTTTGCCTATATGTTTAAATGAAAATGTCTTTAAGGAAGATTTTATATTTTGCTCACGCCACTATCTGTATACTAAAGATTAATGTTAGTTTATGTCAGACATTCTTTTAGGGGTAATCAGAATCATACCTGTAGTTATTTTTGCTTTTATTATTTCAGAAAAAGAAAACATTGACCTGGGCAGATGCCCTTGAATCTTGCCAGACCACGACAGAAGTCTCTGAGGTAATACATTATAAATTATTTGCTTTATACTCCTATGTTCATCCAGGGTTATGTGTTGTAATATTTGATGTATTTTGAATAATGCCACTTTGTAGCTATCAACACTTATCTTTCCTTAGAGCATAACAGAAATTAATTGTATAGCCTTTTCTCTATAACACTTCTGTATCTGATCCATATCACCTTTGCATGAAACTTGGGGGGGGAGGCCTAACATCCATGGCTAATTGGTTATGGTTGTTGACTTTGAACCACATGGCCCTCATTGCTGTGTGGTCAAATCCAACCAGGGACTTTTGATTCTTTCATTTTCAAAAGCTATCCAGCTAGTTTACGAAATGTGGGTGGTTCTACTCTAATGCCAATTTGTGTTAGAAGTAATGATTGGAGGGGCACCTGAGGTCTTCATCCACCAGTTTAGCTGAAAAGCTGGAAAGCCACTATATTACCTTTGCTGTGTTTGTGTAATGTAAAACCCAACCAAAAAAAAAAAAAAAAAGAAAGAAACTTGTGTCAAAATTTTTTTTACACTTTGAGATAATTATGCAGAATTCATTTTGAGACCATGTCAACTCAAGATCAGAGTATTTATCTGAGTTCTTTATTCACTATGTGCTGATAAAACATAATGCTTGAATGTGTAGTATCATTATTTATGTAATCTAAAATGTGCTAATAGTTCTACTGGTTAGAAAGTTATATTTAAAGGTATTGAGAGTGGTTAAAGTGCATGCATTATACTTCTATTCATCTATTGTCATACTCTATACAGAATGGCATTAAAATGTTTTAGGGATATCTTGTCTCTGACATTGGGTTGGTTGTCGTGTTAATTGCTAGCTTGGTCCAATTTTTTACTTAAAGAAGACAAATCTTAACAACTATCAGACATTAGTGTTAAATGCATTGGTTTATTAGTCCCCAACCGGTTTACCGGAGGGGACTTTAGGTTTACCCTCCGTCCGTCTGTCTGTCCGTCCGTCTGTCTGTCAGTCCGTCCACAAAACTGGATCCCACGATAACTTGAAAAGTACTGAAAAGATTTTTATGAAACTTGATATATGGATAGATGGCAGTATGGAGATTATGCACGTCTTTTTCTTTTCTTCCTGTGTTGAAAATTCTGGTTGCTATGGCTACAAATAGGCTGAAAATACGGCAAATTTTACACATAAACTGGATCCAGTGTTAACGTAAAACGTGATAGAAATATTTTTATGAAACTTGTAATATGGGTAGATGGCAGTCTGGAGATTATGCACGTCTTTTTCTTTTCTTCCTATGTTGAAAATTCTGGTTGCTATGGCAACACATAGACTGAAAATATGGCAAATTTTACACATAAACTTAATCCAGTGATAACTCAAAAAGTACTGGAAATATTTTTATGAAACTTGACATATGGGCAGATGGCAGTCTGGAGATTATGCATGTCTTATCTATTCTACCTTTTTTGAAAAAAATATTGGTTGCCTTGCCAACAAATAGGCTTAAAACATGGCAAATATAACAATATTTGTGATAAGTCATAAAGAGCTGAAAATTTTTATGAAATTGCATCTTTAATTCAAGAGTTATCTCCTCTTTAAGAATTTTGCTTTTAAAAATGTTATATTTTGGTAACAGGGATGTTTCAAATATTAATTTTAGAGTGTCCTTCAGTCCGTCTTTCTGTTCATAAAAACTGTTTCCTGTGATCATTTTTAAAGAACTTTTCCAACAAATTTACTTAAAATAGAGAAAAATTGAAACATTAGTGAATGGCCAATGGCCCTTCAGAATGTTGATGGGGTTCTAACCGGTAGGGGACTTATGGATTGCTTGTTTTTGGTAGATATCTAGTGTATTTAAAGTCTATTAAACAAAATGAAGCATCATGTATAATTATATAAGGGAGGTAATGCAATTCTTCTATATAGTGTATATGAAGTACAAGTTGTTTTTCTTTAGATCTGAGTATGAACTTTGTAGTGGAGAACCAGTAAAAAGAAATGACGAAAATCTCTTTTAAGATCAATGACCAAGCATGTGCTAAAATCAGTGAAAAAAAACAAACAAACTTCTATGTTGAATGAATATAAATGAAAATAAAATACTACTATGAATATAAATAATATACTGAAATTAGAAGTATTACATGATTAATCAAATTTTTGATCTGCTTTAAACTTTGTGAAAGACATGCCTGTTTCTCACATATAGTATGAAATCTATGTATTAATCTTACCTCACAATATTGTTAAAAGAACTGCATATATGACCTACATGGCTTATACAAATGTATGCAACATAGACATCTTGCAACCTTTGCATTTTTAGCTCACCAGAACCAAAGGTTCAGGGTGAGTTATTAGTATCAAAGGGGGATGCTCCGGCGAACATCATCCGTCAGTCCGTCGTCATGTGTCAACAATCGTCTTCTTCTCTGGGCATATTTGGTTTGTAGCATCCTTGTGACAGTCGCACTTAAATTTGCTCATGTCATTTCAGTTGGCCCCTTTTAGGGGTCAACAGAGCTAAAAATAGAAAAACCTTCTACTACAGCACTAATTGATAATCACCAAACTTTGTCTGTAGCATTCTTAGGTAGTCTTTTATCAAGTTTGCTCATATTGATTTGATTGGCCCCTTTTTGGGGTCTCTAGAGCTAAAAATAATAAAACCTTTAGATATCTTCTTCTACAGAACTAATGGATGGATGATCACCAAACTTTTTCTGTAGCATTCTTGGGTAGTCTTTTATCAAGTTTGCTCATATTAATTTGATTGGCCCATTTTAGGGGCCGCTAAAGCTAAAAATAGAAATACCTTTAAACGTCTATTTCTACAGAACTAATTGATGGATGATCACTTAACTTCGTCTGTAACATTCTTAGGTAGTCTTTTATCAAGTTTGGAAATATTAATTTGATTGACCCCATTTTAGGGTCTCTAGAGCTAAAAATAGAAAAACCTTTGAACATCATCTCCTACTGAAATAATTGATGGATGATCACCAAACTTTGTAGCATTCTTACCATCTTAGGTAGTCTTTTATCAAGTTTGCTCATATTAATTTGATTGGCCCCATTTAAGCTAAAGCTTAAATACCACAGGTCATGGCATTTCTTCAAATTATTGTTTAAAGATATTCTATGCTCAAATTTACTATTAGAAAATATTAACAATGTACAATTTCCAAAACTGAAAAGCAGTTGTTTCTGGTGACTGACTCAGGGCCATCATGGCCCTCTTGTATGCACTTATTTTGGAATCGGTGGGACATAGTATGTCATTTTCATACTTAAGGTGATTTGGTTGAATGAAATTCAAATTGTTACTCAGTAACAAAAGCAACCATTTAGAGAATTGTAATGAAAATTTTCATGAGTGTAGGTCAGGTTCTATTCTGTTTGTAGCTCAAATTCTCTATTTTGATATTGAAATTTGTTAAACTTTGAACAGGGCAAATGCATTGTTACATTGTAACAAATTTAGAAGGTTATGGGAAGTTGGATGACTGACAAAGTTTGTCCAGACATTTGGAGTTATTGCCCTTGAATTTTAATCAATTATATGATCAAATAATGAATAAAGTAGGTGAGGAACACAGGTACAACACCAGGTTAATTATATGATCAGTTATGAAAATGGGAACATCAAGAAAATGAGAAATCTTAATGAACCTTATTAATAATGTTGCCGTTATTATATTTAAGTCCAATTATCAATAATTTTTATACAGAAACAATTGAGTTCACTCTTAAACTTTGTGTATTTTGTAAAACAGATACAAAGTAGTTAAAAAACAACAACAAAGTGCACTTTGTGTAAATACCCATTGTGTATATGGTGTTTTCTTGGTTTTAAGTATTTAGATGTGAATCCTAGTATTTTAAAGTACTTTCTACCATGGAAGAGCATGTATATTAGGATAATTTGAATCTCATGCCAATCCTATTGGAATTCAATGAATGACTCGTCTCAGAATTAAATCTGTGATTTCTTTGGTTTTCCTGCTTGTTCAATACAGTCCATACAAAAACTTGAACCAACTTCTTTACTTGAACATGTTTTGAATTGATTTTTACAAATCTTTATTATCGGCTTTAACTTGTGACCTTCTCAAATTTTCTTGAAGGAAATTGCCTTTTTTTAATTTTATCAGTTATTAATATTGATGAGTTTGTTAAAGTCATTAATGCCAACATGTTCATAGTTATAAAAATAAATGTTGTGTCAAATGCAAATGAAAATTTGAAAATGATATGTGTATATCATAAGGACAATATAGTAGTACTGAAATGAGGTATTATATTTAAAATGTTCACAATTGTGAGACTTAGTCTTGCCAGCACAATACAGGTCAATATACCCGTATGTAAGGTCAAGATCACCAGTTATGATGAAATGTCCTGAACAATGGTGAGAATTTAGTATCATTTGATACAAATGTTCACCATCAGGAAATATGTGTCACATTCATGAATCAGGTCAAAGGTCAAGGTCACACTAAGTTAAAGATAAGAAAGTCTTGTCCATAGTAAACCTACATCCATTGAGGTATTTTAATAGATTTTGACACAAATGTTCATCATTGTTAGACAAAGTTCAGATCCCTATGGCCAAGGTGAAAGACTCACATAGAGGTCAAATCTTACATCTTTATCAAAATGTGTTTAGCCAATTTTGTAGTCTTGGATTGAGAGATTGTAACAAAATATTTACAATCATGAGTCATAATGCAGGTCAGTATAATCATGCAAGGTCAAGGTCACCAAAGATAATTAAATGTATAGATTTTGTCTACATGCATGCTGGGATCTAAGTGTTCCTTGATACAAATCATTAACAACAGAGACATAGTGCTACTTACATGAATCAAGTCAAAGGCCAAGGTCACACTAAGAGTCAATACCTTTCTAAAGTGAAACTTTTATATGCATTAAGAATTGTTATATAACTTGTCATAACTGTTTAACATTATGTGGCAGTATTTAAGTTC